AAAAGAATTCTGTGAATGAGTGAGCGGGAATGGGATGAATGAATGAAATGAGTGAATGAAGAGCAGCGACAAAGAAGAAGAATAAGAACTAGAGGGCGCGCTTAGCTTCTGTCCCTTTTAATGGCTTCTCTCTCTCTCTCTCTCTCTCTCTCTCTCTCTCTCTCTCTCTCTCTCTCTCTCGCCCCCCTCTCCTTTTCCTCCTGCAGAGGGAAGTGCGCCTGCACGGACCATAACCAAGCATGGAAAACAAACACATACAGTACACACACGACTGATGCTAAGGATGCCTAGCGTTATGTGTGTGTGTTTGTGGTGGTGGTGTGTGTATGTGACAGAGAGAGTGAGAGTGTGGGAGGGGGGTGTTCTATAAATAGCACTATAACTCTGCTTCCATTGACATCATTTAGGCAGGAGAGATGGAAAAATAAATAGGTGGCAGGGAAGGGAGGGGAGCAGAGGGTGCTTAATCTGGGCTTGAAATTCAAACAAAACCTGGCCAGCCATCCCTGTGTACACACTCTCAACAAAAAATGGTTCTACACAGTAAACATGGAAATGCATCTTCTGGTCTAGACTCTCCTTTGATTTTGGGCTTCATTAAGTTTTTGAACGAATCATTAGAACCAGAAACTTGAACTGCCGTCACCCAAATGTTACATGGATTGTATGCTACCAACCATCTGCTTGGACCTGGCAAAATAAATAAATAAATTGCGATATATATATATATATATATATATATATATATATATATATATATATTTTTTTTTTTTTTTTAGATCCTTATTTTTCTCTTAATTTCACTTCAAATTCATACTCCTTTATACATTATCTTCATTTTTTATTTATGTTTAGGGCATTTTTTTTAGACAGACTTATATCAAGCCGTCTTTCTATATTTGTGATGGTTGCAGTGCCTAAAGCATTGCAACCATCTTGCTAAGAATCTTTTGCAGCCCTCTTTTTTTCCATGTGCATGCTTGCTTTCATCTCCAGGGCCCAATAGTAAACATCAGATCAAAACACCGACTGTTTCCTAGAGAGACTGCAGCCCCCAAGTTGAAATGGAAAGCCATGAGACATCAAACAAATTAAAAGGACCTGTGTGTATACAATGGATACACAGCCATATACACACATAAGATCCAAGTGGAAAAGATGAGGGGCCATCACACACCCAAAGCTGATGTTTTTGGAAGGTATTATTGTTGACATGCCCTAAAAGGGGACAAGGCGGAGGGTTGAAGCTTTATAGGCTACAGTGAGAGAGTGGTCTTTTCATTTTGCTCAAGACTAACATTTCCTCTCAAACAGCCTGAGTCGTGTGTTTATGTTATTATGGAGGAGGAAAGGACAGCACACCGTTTTTTCCATGATTAGAGTGTCTTAGTCACACCCAGGATCACTCTCTGTCTTTCTATCACTGTCGTCAGCCTTGGCACTGACCCCTGAGTGCTGCGTGACTTCCACTGGTGCTGATGACGTCTTCTGTGATACATTTCTCCCCATGTGGGTTCCTCAACATGTCCTGTGATTACACATATCTGAGCCCCACATCCTGTACCTGTGACAATACTTCTTTCCATGTTGTTTCATTTTGGATTTCTTATTGGATAATGAAAGGAAACATTTCATGCGCACAGAGGTTGAAGGTTAGGTGCAGCTACAGAACCTCCAGAGCAAAGATTCTTAACCTCCTATAAGACCCGAGCTCTTCCATTGCATACATTTGTAATTTATCTTTGATATTTGGGCATATTGGGACCCAATGAATGTAAAAACAAAGAATTACTAGATTTTTGTTTTTAAGAAAAATGAGAGCCACATATGAGGATATTCGTTTAAAATTTTGATAGAACAGTGGAAGTATAATGTCCTCGTAAGTGGATATCAGGCCCTTCCAAAATCTTGTATTTTGGTCTAGACAACCCAAAATGTCATGTCCACATATATGGACGCCAGGTCCTAGGAGGTTAAGGACACTTAAGATGACCTATGTTTTCTTGATAAACCATTAATCTGCCATTTCTTTTTGGTAGTAACTTAAGCTGCTTAATGACACATTCACAAATTTAGGTGAAGATATAAAATCTTTCTTCCCTGTTGAAGATTACATACCTCACCTTCCTCCTCCCAAATAGCACTTACACCCTTTTTTTTTTTTTTTTTTTTTTAGAATATTTGGCACACGATTTCTCACAGGATAAACCTAAGAATTGTAGTGTTAAATTGTTACAGTGTTTGAATTATGTGCTTCTCAGTTCAAGATGATGAATCATAAGGTCTAATTCAGTTGTGATAGTGAAGTATTTTAGCCATGGTCTCTTGGTTTGCCTCTTTTTCTACCTCTTGTCATCACATTCTCTCTCGTTCGTTTTTTCCTTCTCTTTCATGCTGACTTACTGAAGGCTGCGTGAATGGCAGAACAACCTTTCAGAGGAGACATGAGTCTAAAAATTCTTAAACATCATCTGTTTGCATTTGTGTGCTTTATAGCCACGCATGTGTCATTGACGCAAAAGTTGGCAATTACTTTTGATATCCTTAATGTTGTATAATGACAACAAAGATAGCAGCTTGTTGTCAAAACTTACTGGAATTTCTACTGATGCTTAATGGAAATGTTGTTTTTGCCCTCTGTGCTGGTTAAAATGTCCCACTGAAAACAGGACAGTACCCTTTAGAGATCCAGCATCTTAAAGGACCTGTTAAGTGCTGACAGTAACAACTGTCCTGTGGTTGCAGGCATACATTAAGAATTTAAGCCAAAGTTAAAACAGTGAAAACAATCAGTCCTATTTTAAAAGGAGTTGCCTAATTACATTGCTAAGTGTCCCAACAGGCTGTAAAATTATTGTTAGTGAGACCTGTTTGTCTCTCTCTCTATCTGTCTTTCTGCATGGTGTTCCGTCCTTGGACCTCGAGAGCTGCAGGTTAAATGGGGAAAAGGTTGTCAACATAGTCAGCTTGAGGCTGGAGGATATATTTAGACTGGAAAGACCAGAGGAAGGCAGGGAGAGACAGACAGGCAACAAGGAGGGAGAAATTCATTTTTGACCCACTTTCTGAAGCTGTTACTACCTGTATATCTTCTGAATCATTTGTATTTGAATCAGTGTTCTGCTTATTTGTGCTGTAATTTATCCATGCCTATTTGTGTATTTGCGGCAACAGTGGCTAATAAGGGTATATGAAATTCAGTTTGAATTAGAGTTCGTTTTTTGTGTCTCTCCCTCCCCACTGTTTAGCACTCAGACATGAGGTGCCGGGTCTAGCGCTCAGCCCCAGTCATGGTGGTGAATGGGGGTAAAAATCTTCGAATAAAACATGCTGGCACATCTCATCCACACCTACCCACCAACCCCCCACCCCAAACGCCCCAACCCCAAACACTCATAAGCCCCACCCCTCTCTTCTTGCCAGCTGAATTAATCTGATACTATTTTTGAAAGACAGTGTTTCTAAGGGATACCTAATGACGCAATGACGTCAATGCAGGTCAATAGCACACTGCTGGAGAAGAGGACCAGGGAGGAGGAGAGAGAGAGAGAGAGAGAGAGGCACAGAGAAATGGAGAGGGGGAGAAAGAAAGGAGTGGAAGAGAGGTGCTTTCAGATCTCGTTGTCGAAACACCCAAGACAGTTCCCAGTGTTTTTACACTGACTGTTTTTCTCCTCCTGAATCATTTATTCATTTTTTATGTACTTATTTTTTTTTTTGAAATTCCAATAACTGCACGAGCTTTCAGTCGGGCTTACCCTGCACCATTCATGCTTTCCGTCCCTGTCTGGAAGTAATTCACACACGCAGACCAACGCACGCCTACGCATAGACAGTAAGAAAAAAAAAGAGTATTTGGCGTGAGGTGAATCGTGTGGCGCGCCTCCCCGAATGCGTGAAGTCCCCCTGATTTGGCGGGCTATTTCTATAATCAGGCGCACATTTGTAACTCTGTGCTCTTCCCCTCCTGTCCGGCTACCACCGCCACCTTTACATTTCCAAACCCCTCACCCCTCCCCGAGACCATCCATCCAAACCCACCGTTCTTTTGAGCAGGGTCCTTGAATCTTGAATGCAAACACCAAATATTTTACCCTCCGACAACAACAGGGAGAGGACGCGCAACGGACTGACTTTCTCCATCCTGGCGAAGGAGGAGAGACTGTAGGCTGCCCTGTCCCCCTTTCTGCTCAAATCATGTATTCAAACAGAGTTTATAAAGACACAGAAAGCAAGAAATATTGCAGGTAAGTTTTTTCTGTTATTTGTTGCGCGAAACCCAATTCGTGGGCAGCTAGTTAGGGAAGTTTGCAGCCTGACCGTGCTTGGATATTTTGGGACTTAGTCACCCCCATCATAACCGGTTGATCTGAAGACAAAGGTAACAGCATTCTCACGAGACGTTCTGTAGTGGCAGGGAACGCCATCCAAAGTGAGGTTCGCCTTCACTGGGACTCAAAAAAAAAAGACCGCAATGTTATGCAGATCATTTAAGAGGACGTATTCATTGTTGCCTATCCGTTTACATGCTGCTTGTAGTCGTGAATGTTTGCCTGCTAAAGCTTAACCTCACCACTTGTCTTTATTCCCTGCAAAGGGGATACTCAGCGCGACTTTTTTTAAGGGTCATTGCAGGGGATGCCGTTTGGTGTCTGCGCACTGATAACTTTGGGAACGTTCAGAATAGGGTATTAAAAATAGCAGTGAGACGTTTTTTTTTTTTTGTTTTTTTTTTGGTTGTGTCTGTGTGTGCATACTGGCAGCAGATGGGATTTTGCAAACACTCAAAGAGAGCGGGCTGCGGTAATGCGTAGGAGTATTCACGTGTTGGGGATCCTCTGCTTCAGGCTGCCTGATCTACTGAGATGCCTAGTAACTACTAAGAGATAGACAGAGAGGGAAACTTTGGGAAAAAACACTTTTTCCCCCAAGGCTGTGTTTACATAATCTGTATATATTTATGGATTTTTCTTTTACGGCCTCAACAACGGCGTTCTCCCCCGTCGTGACAAAGAAGTAGAACTGCATGGTAGATGCTCATTCGTGAGTATTAGTTATAAACTTATAGGTTATGCGTCCTTAGTCCTCCACTTGTAAACAACTTTCTGCAGCGGACTTGCGTCAGCCCACACGTGTCGCCAGCTGCCTCGGAGGTACATGCTGTCTTGTTTTCTTTCATGGCCGCGATATAACCGCATTTGTTAGTCCCGTGAGTCTCAAAATGCTACTTGCATTCGCCGGAGCAACATAAGGTGGCGTCGTTATAAAACTCAAGTCTGGGAGGGAAGTTAGAAGATTCAGCAGAACAGGCAGGTTGAGCTGCCCTCACATGGCTCAAACAGCGACTGAGCTGTTCAGCACCACGGAGAGCTCCCTGTTCGTTTACGCACTCACATCCTAAGGTAAATTAGAAACTGTGGTCCAAAATGTTTAATGACGTGAAAATAAACGCATAAGGCTGTTTTATTTTCTATAGTTTGTTATTACTTCTTTGATGCTGTGAAAACGAATATTTTAAAGTTGTGCCAATGCGGAGAGGTTGTTACAGGTTGATGATAAGTTTACCTCGTACAAAAAGCGGTAATCGGAAACTGAATCAGTAAGTATTTTGTGTAACATTTGGCTTCAAGTCAGCACCACTTCACCTACGTTCATTTGTGTACACATTTTGAATATCCTTGACAAAAACTTGCCACAGTTACTCTGTGGTTTCAGACTGTCATAGATCACAGTTCTCTGGATGCCACACCATCGGTGCCAGGACTTTTTTTTCTTCTGGTTGCCGTAGATAGTTCTTTATATCCTTGACTTTATGGTTGAACTCGTTGGCATGCGGGGGGGAGGAAATGACTCAACGAAAACTGCTTAGAAGCAGCTAATCGCCTCGAGTGGCTAAAGCCGCTGCTGTTCTTTTGCCTTAAAGGTCGTTTAAAAGTGAATCTTTTGTACTTTGTGCAGGTGTGGCCGGTAAAATTGAGAAATCCATTTGACAGACTTGGTGTACAAAGATCTTTGTGTGGTTTTTGCAGAAGGCACGCCTCCTGCCTGTGTCGGAGTAGTTGTGATAGTGAAAGGAACAGAAGGATGAGCAGTACCTTCTCGTTGTGATGTGAACTCGGACAAAAAGTGTGTTGTGTCTTGGTTTTCGCTGGAGTCAGGAGTGCCGGGTTTTTTTTTAATGTTTTTTTTTTTATTATTATTATTTTTGGAAGGGTGGAGGTGGTGGGGGTAGACAAAGTTTGGGTTAAAATTAAAGGAGGTTCTCTGGTTGGGTTTGTCGACACCACGCGGTGATCACCGTGCACTGCGCTGGCAAACCTTGGCTTCATCTCCCACTGACACTGCTTATTCCTTGATTGAATGATTGTAGACCACTGTATGTGCTCATACGTGCTTGCATGTAGTGTAGCCAATGTTTGTTTTGTGTGAGCTAAATCAGATATTTACTTGCTGTGTCATGTTTTATACTCATACATTTGTGATAAGAGCCAAAGAGACTACAAAATACGCAAAGAATAAAACTCCTTTTTTCATTTTTTGATTACTCGGGGTGCATTTTTGTCATCTCGGTATTCAGGATATCCTAAATCCCTTCTCTGAGCGTGTCCCTATACATGCATTCGCCAGCAGTCACGGACATACAGTTGGCCTACAGGCAGGGATAAAAATAGCACAAACCGATGCGACGGGCGCAGCCCTTTTCTCTTTCAGAGCCGACTTTTCTAGGTAGCTGCCACTCAGTTGGTACTCACTGCCTTCATTTCTAAAACCCTAGCACCATCCACCATAGGCCAGCCCGCCCCATCGGATAAAGTCTCGTGAATGTCCACGCGGCATGAGTGCAGATGGACGGCCTGGTGCGCGTAAAGAGGGTCTTACAGTAAAGATGTTATAGATACAGAAGAGGGCTGGGAGAGAGATTGAGCATACTGTGGAGGGAGGTTTGTTTGTACACCTTTGCACCGACAAGTGTGCGCTCCCGGGGGTTTGTTCCGTGGGCGAGCGGGGTCTGGTGCGTGGGCACGACCGGTGGAAAACAGGAGATTAAGGTTGTGTTTTCCTCTCCTTTGCTGTAGAGATACGGGTGTTTTGCCCGCCAAATGCACTGGATGCTGGGATATAAATTCTCCAAGACCAAAACAGCACCGACACTTGGTGTGTGGGGAGGGGGGGGGAGACATGGGTGGGAGGAGGGTGGCTGGAAAGCCAGATGCTTAGAGGAGGGTTTTCACCAAGAGATAACCTACTCTAAAGCTGCAGTTTCCACGAGTCCATACCATATTACCCACCAGTATATCCTCGTGTTTTATCACTCATATTTTTTCCTTCCACATGGCAAATTTTCGAAGAGAGCTGATGACAGAAAGGCAGCCTTTAATCAGACTCTCCGGGCTGTAAAGTGAGAGAATCTGAACGTGACGTCAATGCCTAGTAACTGACGCAGCCCTTAGAAAAAAGAAAAGAAAAAAAGGCTTTTTATTTATTATTTTTCGTCTTCTCGTCAGAAAAGCTTAATTATTAAATATAAGAGTGCTATGTCGTATGTCGACTAAAAGAAAAAATAAAATCCTTCAGGGACCGCCGGGCAGTCCGTGCTGATCAGCATTTGGACCTATTTAGCGTTCATGAGTTTCAGCTGCTGAAGTGACACTGGGACGAGAAGATTCTGAAGAGGGCGACAAGACATCAAATATTGTCGATGGTAATGGCAGCGTCGACGAGTTCCAGATTTCAGTTGTTAGGTGCTGAAAGTGGCGTGTTTTAAGGAAGAGACGGACGTGGTGGTGCTGTTGAAGGCACGCTGGGTTGAGAGGGGGGGGGGAAAGGAAAAAAAAATCACTGCAATGATGCAACGGAGGGGACTCGGGGATCTTTGCAGAGTTGGAGAAGCAAAATTAATTTCCATTACATGCTCTTCACGTAAAGATCCCAAGCAGTGCCTTTTTTGTGGGTGTTTTTTTTTCTTCTCCTTCCTTGTACTGTGACCTAAAAATAGCATCATAGTTTTGATCGTGCGCCAGAAATAGACAGACGGGTATCACTTGTATAAAAAGGAGGCGATCCTGAGCAAACTTGGACGTGCCACTGTAAGCCTACATAACAACAAATGGAGGACTTAATCTGTTGCATTTCTACCAGACTTTTGTTGCGGCTTCTTCTTTTTTCCCCTCCCTTTACTAAAATCTCAATTCTTGTCTTTCTCTTTCTGCAGTGTCGAACAAGGACGTGACTGCAAACTGGTGAGTGAGACGTTTGCACACACACTTATTTAATTCCGTGTACTTTTTGTTGTGTGGTAATTGCTTGTGCATGCTGCCGAGTGTCTGTGCGGTTTCTATTCCTCCAATTTTGCCTTACACTTTGGCTCATGCACAAAAAATAAAAAATAAAACTTACAAAAAAACAACCCCTTAACTTACGGTCCTACGCATGGATTTTGCTGGCATGCTTTACTAGCCATGTTTGATTGTAGAGCCGAAGCAACCCTTCCTGCAGAGTAGGAATCACCCCTTTTAGTAAATAAGCTAGTGCAAAAACTCCCTTTGTCTATTGGCGCTGTTGAGTCTCTATCACATATTTATTTTATTCCCTCCCATCTCTATGCTTAACCGCGAAAGCGAGGGGAACCCTTCTCTGATGAGCGCTTAAGGACGCCTTTCCCCCCGTCTTCTCCCCCCCCCCCCCTTTTTTTAAAAGAGGAATCTTACTGACAGAAAAGCGACGCTGGAAGAGGAAGAGGAGGGAGTGATGTGAAGGAGCTGTTGCTGCAGCAGAGACCAGGCACACCGCATGGGGAAACCCGGGAGCTGTCCAGCAGCAATGGTGCTGAAACCACACCAAGTGGCAGTAGTGGGCTGTTGCTGGTGTGCTTCACTGTATGTGCGTTTGTATGGATGCGTGTGTGTGTTAAGGGGGCTTGTTGGTGTTGATCCCGGCAGCCAGAAGCTTTGTTTACTCCTGTTTGGAAACCAGGAGCTCGTATACTGAGCGAATCATCTGTCCTGGAAAGAGTATTGAAGCACCCCACCTTATCTAAGTTGCCCAAATCTACTAATGAGGGACACTCGCCGCCACCCCCCCCAAAAGAAAGATGTTTCTAATACAGTTCCTCCCGCCTGTATAGTTTGAACTGGCTCGACGGATGCCATGGGCAGAGAGAAGGAGAGAAAGAGGTACAGCCGGACTGACTTGGATCAGCTCTTCTCCTGCTGGCGTCAGCCTCGTGATTTCCTGGCGTGCCAGTCAAAATCATAAAGGATATATTCTCGCATCTCGCATCCCTACCAATCCAGCGGTTTGAACTGAAAGAGTTTGCAGTGCTCTTAAGAGCAGTTGCGAAATAGCTGAGGGTTTTCTGTGGGTTTTTTTTTTCTTTCTTTCTTTTTGAGAGCTCTTCCCACGATAACTTTTCATCCCGGCGAGGGCTTCTATCAGAGCCATCTACTCCACGACAAATTGTGAAGGAATCAGCCCGTTTTGTTTAAGGTAGCTGTGTTAAATTAGCGAACGGAAAGATCACAACAAGGCTACAGGCGTCTGCACAGCTCTGCAGCCCGACTGGGGACTCGACGAGCGCGCTCACCCCGAGTCTGTGCACGACTTTGGCCAATTTCCTCAGTACATTTGCATTCTGGCTAAAGAGCTACAGTGGATTAAAACGAGCAAACAAACAAAAAAATAACAAAACAGATAAAAATCAACCAGCCACCGGTATTTGTCATACAAAAATCCCGTTCACCTGCGATACACTGCTCCACCTCTCCAAACCCCCCAAAAAGAAATTCTCATCAATTCTGTCGTTCTTCTTCGGGCAAAACCCGCAAATACGCACTCGAGGGACCATATTTTGCTCAATAATTCAACGCCAAGAGTGTAATTTCGGTGAAAAAAACACGGATTCCCGAGTCGTGACTGCTAAAGTGAGTAATGTGCGCGTTGGCTGCGTCAAGAGAGGCAGTCACTGTGCAGTGCAGACGGTGGGGGAGAATCGTGACTGACTGGGTTGCAAATGAAAAGACCACCCAATAAAAAAATATCTACACCGGGAGGAGGGGAGGGTGGGGGTAGGGGTGGGGTAGAGGGCGCATGGCGAGAGGGAAGAGGATAGGAGTCTGGGGTTGGATTTGCACTAACCATTGCCCCCCCGACATTCCAAATACCTCCTTTCTCCATAAGCGTGTGATTAGTGTGTGCTTGCTGGGATGCTGGGAGCCAAGTTGAATGCAGACCAGTGTCATCAGTGATAGTGGGGCGGTGAAAATATGAGGGGGGTATACAGTAACTTCCAGGTGCATGGAGTTGAGGGGGTTATGTAGAAAGGGGGGTGGGAAGGGGGTGCACTGAAAGCTGCAACTTAGAAAAAACAAATTAAACATGGAACTTTTCCAGAGAAAAGAGGTAAGTTGTTCTTTTCATTTTATTTGTCCTTCCTCTAAAACGAAGATCATTAAAGATTCTTTCAACTTTTTGTATGTGTGAGGACGAGTGGTTTACGGTCGTGATTAACTCTTTGACTCCTGACGCCATGCTCAGCAACGTGCTGTTGTTTTTGTTAAGTTAAACATTTGTTGCTGTGTGAGCTGTGAACTACTGCAGTGAATCGCATGCCATATGGTTAATGTCATGTTCGCTTCCCACCTGTAAATGACTGAAGGATCGTAGGGACTGAATTTGTTACACGGAGACCCCCGTGTCGGTTTTTGCAGTGGTACCCTCCGGTGAACTCTGTAGGTGACCATGAGTCGCCTCAGATGCTACTTGCTAAGATGTGACGCGATGTAGAGGGCTGTACAAAGCTTGTTCGCACTTGTCCAAAGTCCGGTTGCTATTATTGTTAGCTTTGTTTTTGTACCATATTTTCGTTTGTGTGCATTCCCTCATTATTTTGTATACAGCTTGTAGCTGGCGCGTAAGGAAAGTCCAGGATGCCTTTACTTCTGATGAGGTGAAAATAGCTAATTTCTGTTGTCACGTGTCATGTTTATTATTATCGTCAGCGTTTGATACGTTTGTTATTTATCACACTATAAAACGCGTGGAGCGACGGTTGTTTTCGCAGTCTCGTTAGAGGCTCTGCAAACGCAAAAAGGCTGAAAAATAGAAACTGCTAACACTGACATAGTCGCATCAGAGTCGTAGATCCTAATATAAATGCATATATCCAAAGTATAAACTCTGCCATAGACCACAATTTGGTTAGCCATCTTTTTTTTCCTTTCTTTTTTTTTTTTTTTTTTCTTTTTCAAAAAGGGGGGTCCCTATATGAGCGAGAAGCCGATTGGCTGATGACGAGGTTTAGTTTGCTCCAATAAGATCCCTCCCTGCTCTCTATTTATTGCCAGCAGTTTACAGCCTTGCTCCCTCCTCACCAAGCGCTCTGGAGCGGCTGCAGAGCGCCAGCGCTTCACTATAGGGAGACACACCACGGACCAGGGAATATAATACAGAGCACACTGACAACAAAACGCATCGATGCACAGCTCCCGTGGATCACACGGGCTTTGCACATCCGAGCGTTTGGATAAAAAATAATTATAGCAAATAGGAGAAAATATGAAAGAAACAGAGTAAGAGGGGAAGGGGAGAGGAGAAAGGATTGGTTGAGAGACGAGAAGGGAGATAGAGGAGGATTTAAACTGGAGGAGTGGGGAATCAGAGCGAAAGGACCTTGGACAGCTCTCAGTTGCAGCAACCGCCTTGGCATCCGGAGACCCCCCTCTTTCCACTGTCTTTCTTTCTTCCATCCTTTCTCTTCCTAATGTGTGTGTGTGCGTGTGTCTCTGTGTGTGTGCGTGTGTCTCTCTGTGTGTGTGTGTGTGTGTGTGTGTGTGTGTGTGTGTGTGTGTGTGTGTGTGTGTGTGCGTGCATGTTGGAAGGATACACTCGCCTCGGGTTTCCGAAGGCTGGAGATATAATCAACCGAGTCGGGATGGGAGATAAATTCACGGAAGCAGAGAGCAGAGGTGTCACGGAGTCTCCGTAGGACGGCAGCAGCAGTAGCAGCAGCAGATAATGTCCTTCACGAATCTTTTTGCGGTCTGGGCTTGCTGTTCATAACTATTAATCTGGGAAGCCCTTACCCCAAAAAGCATTTGCGGAGGGCGCAATCGCCGCGCCGAGACACCGACATCAGAAGACAGCACTCTGGAATTTTACAATCTTTCCTTTTAAGGGACTTCTTTTATTTTTTCTACTCAGATTTTCCTTTTGGTTCATATTTGTCTTTATTTACTCTTATCGTTTTTATCATTGCCACGGCTGTGGGGTTTTTGTTATGTTTGTTTTTTCAGCCCTAAGTGTGTCCTTTTTTCGTAGTCAACAGTTTTCTTCTTTGTTAGAAATTGTGTCGAAGCTCTGCAGCCACGTCGCACCCAAGTTTTCTTCAAACTCTTGCGTGCCTTTGTGCTCATAAAACAAAATAAATAATACAGTTTTGGTAACAAACATTTCGGCGGACCCCAAACTTCGAGCAGTGTAACATCAAGTCATTATTTCAGCCAAACACACCCAAACCCAACCCCGTCGACCACGCTGAACAAGTGACAGCAGGCCCAGCAGTGCAGAGTGTAAACATGGGGAGACCCTTGCAAGTTGCACGTGTGTGTGTGTGTGTGTGTTTTGGAGGGTGTGGTGCTTGGACGTCACTGAACCCCTAACTCCCTTCAAAAAAGAAACTGTGGGAAACATTCAAACACACACACACACACACACACACACACACACACACACACACACACACACACACACACACACCTGTAAGCAAAGTGCATATGCAAGGGATTCCCCAACAAGACCATCCAAACTGGCAGATGGAGAGGAATAAGGAACAGCTGCATCCCTGTCTCATACACGTAGTTACTCTGTGTGTGTGTAGCGTCCGTGAACATTCAAACAGCCTCCTCTTTAACACACACACACACACACACACACACACACACACACACACACACACACACACACACACACACACACACACTGAAAATGCACGTGTCTCCCTCACAGTTTTGTGAATAGTAGTTAATCCACCTCAAGCATCGCCCACCACTGTTCCCCTGTCAACGTTCCCCACAAAGAGCACACAGAGAGCCGGCCACGAACACGTCCTTCCAGTACGAACCAACAGATTACAAAATAAAAAATAAAAAAGATGAAAAAGATCAACTTTAGTCTCGTCAGCTTAGCGATTGGGTCATTATACTACCAACTTCAGTAGCACGAAACTATGGCTCATGAAGCTTCGTGTGAATGCAGTAAGTGGTTTCTGCAGCAAAAGTAGTCATGCCGATGAAAATAAAAGCAAGACATGAGCACCAGCTCTTTCAGAAGACACAGTAAAAAGAACGAAAGGAGATTCAATTCATTTTAGGGCGGAGAAGAAAAAACACACGCGACTTTGTGCCCTGTTTCCTCTCTGCTGTCCCATCACAGGTAAAGGGAATGAAAAGTGTGAATGATCAAAATCAAGTGTACTAATGATCCTAATAAATAAACATTTCCGCGTATTTGCAGTACAGATCCACAGAGCAGCAAGTGTAACCCTAGGATGGAAAAAACGGTTGGCTAAATGTGCTGAGTCCCACTCACGCTGACAGGAAAATATAGTTTCAAAAAACGAGGAAAAAAGTGTAGTTCAGGGAACAAAAACGACTTAATCACAAAGCGCTCAGTTGCGGCCCCGTGTCTTTTGGCTAAAAACGCAGAGTTCCCAGAAAAATGAACTGAGATGGGGGTGGGGGGGGAGGAAAAAAGTTCGTGACGTACTAGATAACCCACCGTGTAAAAATACATTTCCCAGAACATGTTTCTAATTTCGAGAGTGACGTTTGAACCAACTCTTGAGCAACGCATAGATCTCAACGAGGCACTCTTTAGATAATCCAAATTATCTAAAGAGTGTAAAACATAGAGCAGGGATCAATGAACTGGCAATAAAGTGTAAGAAAGCATAAACACGTATTGAAACGACCACAGAGATTACGTAAAACAAAAAAGCGTGACCTCTGACCCTCGGACTCGCCTTCCGTTTTTCTGCCTTAATAGCCATAATGATAAAAAGCCACACCTGTGTACAAGAATACGGGGCACTGGCTTGTCTCCTGCTTTCTGGGTGGGGATGTGAATGAAAACTTATCTTGGCACCTTTCAAAGGTGGCTTAATTACTGAATATTTACTGCGAGGATTCGCGTCATTTCAGCGCGTAAAAGCGGTTTTCTCAATGGTTTGCGGTGGTGCGTCTGATGATAAGTTGCCCCCCCCCCCTCCCCCCGTCCCCAAATCCCCCGTTCACATTATGTCTTCCGTCTGTCCCTTTAGGCCTGCGAACTTTTAGACGATTAAGTCTCACCATGTGCGCTTTGTCCATTTGTCTTGCAGGAGAGAACAATGACAACATGAGTGAAGATGGAAACGGGGTGACTTAGGAGCTCAGGTGGACTTGACTGCTGCTGCTGGAGCCTTCAGCTGGGCGCCGGTGAGAAAAGGTGACCTACGATTTGGATGTATGCACCGAGGATCGACTGAAAGAGGGACCGACCGATCGACCTTCCTTCCTCCCCCTTTCCTCTGTCCTCCCTCACCTTCTCTCTCTCTCTTCTCCATCTTGAGACAGGTAATTGCACGGGCTGAAATGTGTTTGAGGATGACGTCAAACACAAATCACCCTTCAAATTGTGTTTTGCGTAAGGCTCGTAATGACAGCTCGGTGCATGTGAGCAAGAGTTGTGTTTGTGTAGGGTCTCGTGCTTCTAGATTTCTATCATTTATATGTTAAAGTTATCATGGAGCTTTAAGTCAAATGGAAAATAATTGCCGTGATCTTGTGATTTATTGAGAAGCTGGAAGTAGCACAATGTAAATTTGCACTATACATCTGCATTGTACTTTGTGTATTAGTGAGTTAGTGGTTTTTCGTGTTTTAGTTTTTGCTTTTTTTCTGTTTAATCTGTCACACGGGTCCGTCGTGCTTTTTAGCTATATCACCTCTATATGTGCAATAGTATGAAAGAAGCCCATGCGCAAGTTTTAGCTGTCAGTCTGATGTTGTAATTGTCGAGTTCACGTGGTTTCAAGAGAACCGATTAGATACTCAGTGGTATTTGTGGTATGGGTTTCACAGTTGGATGTCAAAGTATATGATGAGCATTTGCTTGTTTGTAATTTCTTTTATTTTTTTTTCTATCATAATCTATATTGGAGTTGGTGTGAGCGTGGGTGTGCTTTAATCCTGTCTATAACTTGCACTGTATCTGGCTCATACTGTATGTTTTTGGCACCAGAAGATGTAAATTCTTACCTGCTATGTCACCTCTCATTGTGAGTCATCATATCGTACACAGTTCAGGCAACACCTTGGCGTCATGTTAGATTTACTTGCCTTTGTGATAACTCTGTAAAGAGGGGGGCAAAAAAGTGTCATCCAGCTTCTGAAAATCCATTGTTATTGTTGAAGTTATTATAAGTTATTATATGTTCCCACTGTAAACTGAAAAATGAGATCAAGTTAAATGTTATGGAGAATACAATCATGTCTGATCATGTGTAATGACTGGTGTTTGCCCTCTGGGTAAATTAGTTCTTCCCCATGGGGAACCTATGGAAAGCTTTATTTTTTCATCTCTGTTATATAACAGATGGTGTATTCAGGTGTTCCACAACTTTTTAGACAGGAAGTGGTAGTTCAAGATTGAGAAATATGCTGTAACTGTCAAAATAATAATATGGCTGTTTAGCAGGTGTAAGTGTGTGTGTGTGAGGATAAAAACCTGAAAATATGATTTTCACACAGCTTAAAGTAGCACAACAATTAGTTTCACAGCGCATTGCAAATTTGAATTTCTTACAGCTGTTTCTTTAGCCTGATATTAGTACAAAATTGTCATAATTTCTTCGTGTTCAGTAAATGATGGCTCTGAAAGTTAGGGAATTTCATGTGGGATACGTGTGTGTGTGTGTGTGTCTGTTTAGTCAGAAAGACATCTTGGTTTTTATTTGAACATATTTTGAAATTTCCATCTCCAGTACTTTTGCCTCCATACAGCAAACCTGTATGAAATAATTTATCATAATAATCTGCAAAATACACTATTTCTTTGGTGGAAAAATGTTGACACATAACACCAAGTCTAGTAAGTTGCTGTTGCAATTTTCTAATGCTGTGACCACAGCAGAACTCCACTTACCAGTAGTTTCCATTTGGGCGGTGTCAGAAATCTCACAGAAAAATCTCAAAAGCAAATACACCTGTGGTGATGATCAGACAGATTTGTGGGAAAATATCTCTATTTGAAATCTAGGCAAACAAACCAGTTAACTGATAACTTATGGCCTCAGAGTTCTCGTCACACCAAATTAGAATAAGGGAACGTCTGAAAAATATAAGCATCATTTTCTCTGAAAATTGGCATGTTCTTTTTCTTATTTTTAATCACACCACAAAACCATTTGATGTCTTAGCTCAGTGTCGTATGATGCTGTTGGGACTGTAGCCGTATCAAACTGTATGCTGACATTGCTTCCCCCCTCTTGTGCACAGAGAATCAGAATAATGTTTCAAACAGTAAATCACCACGATGGAAAAGTAAATTGGTAGGGGTAACAACTGGCAATGAAAAAATGTGATTGTGTTCATGCTGTGGAGTGTAACATAATTTGTCATGTGATTGTCACTGAATGTGTCCATTGTTTTAAAAAAACACAAGCCAAAAATCTCATCGCATTTTAAAAACTGTATACATATCAACTACAGGTCAAAATACACACTCTGCTGTGATCATATACTCATAATTTAATAGTCTACTCACCTTCATAAGAGTCACGTGATATATTTTACCTGAAATGAGTGGTGAGCATTTTTTCCTGACATCATCCCACCTGTGTATGACAAATCACAGCATGTTCCTAAATTTCCTCTTGTAATCTTTTCTGTTGTTAGCTACCAGTGCGGAGCTATATTTAGGGGGATGACGTCATGGTTAAAAGTGAGACCAAAGGGCTTTGAAGACATGTGCTACAAAAAAGAGGGAGTTATGTTAAACTCCGGATGCTAATAACACATCGGGTGTGTGCTTCATTATAGCTTCTCATCAAAAACAGATAATAAGCATTTATCCTTGAGGATTATCCCATGGACAGCAGCATCCATTTGGTTTCAGCAGTCTTGAAAACCACATGTGGATGCACTCAAAATTTATGTGGATTGACTCAATAGGCTAAGCTATCGTTCAGGGCTTTATCACAGACTGCATTTTATTTTTAGTGTAACCTCAATATTTGCCGTCAATCAACTATTTGAAATACAAACACTAAAGGTAGTCATGTAACAGAACTAAACAACAACAAATGGTTTTTTTTTCCATGACTTTTGTTTTTATCCTTCTATCTTTTTTTGCAGGGGGATTCATTCATAATTTTCATCATTCGTTTCGCAAGCAGGAAAAATAACCACGTCCGTTTCATATATCTATCAAATCTGTTTTATTCACAAGCGCTGTAAATGGCAGCACGTTTGTTCTGTCTACCTTATGCTGGACTGAAGCCATATCAATCTCACCTTTGAACATGGATGAGTTGTCTCTGTTTATTTGTGTTTCTGTGGTTAAAGATTGTAGCTTCTCTGAACAAGGCTTGTGCAGCTCCACATTTTCCTTGATGGGAATGTTCATAGTGGAAAGACCAAAATCCCCGAATGACATTAATTGATGCTAATAAAGAGTGTATGCCAAAGCCTTCCACTGTATATTTTCTATCACTGTCTCATAGTTTCTTAGAAAATGGTAAAAACCCAATGAGTGACATGTTTGCACTAAGCGACACACTCCTTCAGGATGAGGAAAGTGGCTACTGTAGTAAAGTTTGAGTCAGTCCTGCAAAGGCATCACCTATGCGAGGAATATTGCATTTAGCAAAATGGTTTGTGTTTCAGTCTTGAAATGGAAATAGTCACCAAATAAATTTTTTTGCTATTCTATGCCAATTAATATTTGTTTTGGAGAATGAGAATAGATGGTTTACATTGAGTGCTTTTGTCTAGGCTACAGAAGCTTAGTGCTTCTGATACCTTTGATTTTGTTGATGCTATTGTTGATGTTTATTATGGTTATAATAATAAGCATGGATAAAGTTCGAGGGCAATTGCGGCAACACAAAAAGGAACTTTTAATATGAAACAGAAAATGATTCTCAGTCTGCGCAAGCTGTGCGATTTATTGACCTGTCCATCCATCTGTTGGGCTGCTAAGTTTTTTAAGATCACTATGTGAGCAGTGACAACTTCAGTGCATAGTTTATAACGCTTTATTTTAGAACTCAGTCAAATGTAGCACTGATATAAGTCACTAACCTAACCTACTATCCCCAGCTAATGGTTAAATTTGCATCCATTAGAGAGAAAAAAGGTTTCATAGGAATTTTTTATGCTTTCTTAAAAATGACAGGTGTATGTAGTCTTAAAACATGCGCATATGTTTTTACCATGTAACATCCTACAGTTACGTTCCCCACTCAGGAGGTGTAATAGTGCAAGAGACTGCCACGGACATCACTGAACTATCACCATTATGCTACATTAGTGGAAAAACCCCAGATCCTCCTTTAGATACTATTCTAATGGAATTTGGAATTTGAATTAAAAACAGAGCTCCTTAGTTAATACCTTCAAAATCAAATTAAACTTCATTCATTCTAATGCTTATTCATATATTTTTGTACGAGGCATATGGAGTCTTTTTTTGTGTGTGTCACACGTATGATTGTGTTGTGTTGTAGTGGTATTAGACGCAAGTCTTCCACAGCTTTAAAACACTGAGAGCTGACGTGATGAACACTGATCATGTCTTTAAAATACAGTGTGCAGCTGGGGCCTTGGCATATATGTGCATATTACTTTGACATGCATTAAGTGCCATATTCATAAACAGTGACCAAGCACACACCACACGGGAGAGCTTCCTCCCCCAGCAGGGCTGTTCTACCAGCCACACAACTCAGGAATGGCTGAGAAAAGCTCAGGGGATTACTTGACCTTCAAACTCCCTAGTCCCAGTCCAGTTGAACAAATGATCAACCCAAAATGACCACAGGACACCCTAAGAACTCTTGTGTTTCTGCCCTGATAAGTCTATTTTGAGTCATCCCATATGTAGAGTATGTTAACATATGTCAGTTACAATTACTGTTGTTGTTGCTGTGCCCAGTCAGTTTTTCTCATAAATTAATCACAAATTAATCAAGGTATCTCCTTCTGTTCTTTGTCAGTCTACTAACATTAATGTAATTCAAAAGTTGTACTTGGCAGATGTATTTGTGCAGATCCAAGTGACCGAGGCGACAGTCTAAACCACTGCGCCACTGAGTCCCAACCAGTTGTGCTGTCAAATCTGCTGCTGGTATCTTTTTTGTTTTTCTTTGAACTATTACTTACAGATAAAATCGGTGTATTTCAGCAAATCCAAAAGGGGGAATTAGCTGTTGTAATAATTAACTCCACAAGAAAATCATAAAAGCACAACTCATCAGAAGCTCGTATTGGCCCCTTTGGTGCAAATAACTTCTTATATGGTTACCATTCTCTTAATTCAGCTTTCTAAAATTTTTGACCACTCTTCCAAAATC